GCAGAGCATACCATCGTTGGAGACTCCCCAACATGAAAGTGGGGGGGGGGGCGTATTTGGTCACAGAGTGTGTTTTTCGGTAAATAGTTTTTCATGTTTCGTCCAGACGCATACAGGGTGGTAGTCTATTTGTTTTGAGAGAAATTGCCGGCAATGAAAAAAAATCTGCGCCATTTTGACAGCAAATCTTGGGGAAGAAGCAGGGAAATTTTCGGGAAATCCCGCAAAAACTGGAAAGAAAAGGTGGAATTGGGAAGATCCAAGAAAGTGGTAGATAGGCTCGGGTAGGGCAGGTTAAGTTCGGATTCAACCAAAATCCCCAAACGTGCCCTGCCCTGACATCGCCAACATATAGATAGAACAATGCTACGTATAATATATAACCAAGCTTCAGTCGATTCTTCTACTTCACTAAAGTCAAGCACCATCACCATCGAGAGCTTGTGCCTTATACTGAAATGAAGGATGAAGGGTAAAGCTTTCGCCGTTGATCAATCCCTTTGTGGGATGCGGCACGCATTCTACTTCCATCAGAATCGTAGTGGCTTATTGAATGCGATGTGGCCTACAATGACTTGCGGGGGCCAGCCGATATACAACTCAGTGTTATTATCCTCTCGGACCAATCTGTCACCAAATTTACTGTGCCGGAGGGGTAAGGATACTTGGTTCGCCCCAGCGCGGAAGTCGACCTGGGATTTGAACCCAGGACCGCGCGAATGGTGAGCGCGCCACTTGTTACTACCCATCTCCTGCTATTATACTCACATCACCTGTATCACCTGTGATCCGTTGATTCATCGATGTTCTCTGAGCCGCGCACCCAGTAACGCCTCCATTCGTCCGCAAACGTGCAAGAGTTGCCCAATGGACTTTCTCTGATTGAGGGACACGATGAACTTCAAACCATTCGTTCAGAGCTTTCACGAAGAAGTCTGACCATCGCATCTGACCAATCGCATGCCAGTCGTCCAGGGCTAGTTTGACATCCCGTGGAAATCAGTCGGTGATCTGCCTCTGCCCGTCCAGCCGTCTCTCCGGAAAACGCATTGACCTGTCCGGCCACCTATCTTCGAAGCCTTGGCAAATGCGGCGGTTCGTCTCTGATCTTCGATCGTTGGCGGAGTGCGGAGCTCCGGATTCCCTCTCTCACTTGCGTGTAGCGGGAAACTCCGAGCATCGCCCTTTCGATGGCGCGTTGAATAACGCCGACCGCATGCTCATCCTGCTTTCGTAGAGTCCAAGTCTCTGAGGCGTACGTCAAGCAGGAAGGACCGCGCAATCGAAGCAGGCTGCGGCGCCGGCAGCTTTGGTGTTCTTCCTTCTTCGCTTTCCTCGATGTCCCTGAAAGCTCCCAAGCCACTTGCTTCCCCCTGCTCAGCTCTGGTGCTAATTCAGTCATCATATTAATTTCACGACCCCGGTACACATAGCTAGAGCACTCAAAAATGGTCGTTGCGTTGAGCGGCTTCCACCAGTACTGCTGCTCTTCTCTCCTTGAGGTCTTCCTTTATCGCTTCTCTGCATAGCTTCGCAAGCTCAGACGTCAGCTGGTAATTGCCTGCGGCTCGTGCGGCTCCACGTTGGCGAATCAGCTCGAGAGTTTCCAGAGATAGACGCTTCTTGGTGAATCTTGGAACCCTCTGACTTCTTGGCGCAGTCGTGAAGATGTGCAACAAGCCTTTCGTATTCCTCGTCGATGTTGTCAATGACAGAATCCTCCCAGAGCCCAGAGAGAAGTGAAATTCCCAATGATGACATCTTGGGGCTTCTCCTTGAACTTTGCCAGTTCTCTCTCCTCACATCGGAATGAGCGGAATCCTGCAGGCGAAGAGATGTTATCGGATCTGTAGAACAAAGATTAGGCAGAACAGCGCGTCGGTCAGCAAATACCTCTCGATTGAAGATTGATGTGGTCTCTCATTATCGCAATGTCCACCAGGAACCTCCCATGTCCAGCGTAGAGAGTAGGGCTTCTGGAACTGCGAGTTACCATGGATGGTATGGGTCGACATGATAAACTCAGACAGCCTTTCATCCCTGCTCATTCCACTCCGTTCCGTGAGTTCCGATGTGAAGTTCTTTAGCCGTTCTTCATGGTCCGAACCTAGCATTGAAATCACCGACGATGACCTTGAAGAAGGTATGATCTTCCTTGTAGAACTTCTCCAATTCCATATAGAACGCTTCGAGCTCATCCTCGTCGTAGCTTGATGTTGGTGCGTAGGCGACGAAGATTGTCAAAGCTGGAGTTGAACCACATCTTCTCAATCGGCAAATCGTTCGATTCGCTTGTCAGATTTTCCGTACGGATCGATGTTTATTTCCAAGTGCGGGCGAACTGGGACGAGACGCCCACACCGCCAACGCCTCTGCTGTCGCATGTTCCGAGGAACAGTTCTTCTCCAGTCTCGTATACGGCGTGTAGCGGGCGATGCCTCCTCGTCTCGGTCAGTCGATGGCGTCGTACTTGATCTTCCTGGTGCAACATCAGATCCTCCGATGTGACTTCGTTGCTAAGCGTCCGCTACGTTTGAAGTACAGCATCTCATCTCAAATCCGGGAGTAATTATTGTTGCGTTCGGCGGGAAGAAATTTGACCACGCGTAGCTCAGGCTCTGACGTGGTACCGGTATCAGCATTGGTACGGTTTGGAAAGTCCAAAACCGTTCACCTCCTGCCACGTTGCTGCGATAGGATTTGTGGGGGCCTATGCTCACATGTACTGGAAAATTAATCACTAAATCGATGGGTATCTCAATGCGCTTACACACGTGTCACGTAGCTGTCTCTTCAGTGAATTGTTCCACAAGAAAAGAACTTGTTGTCAGTGAACTTGATTGAATGTGCCACATGTAGGAGCGACTAATAGGTTACGCTTTAGTGAATTGACTCCTCGTTATCCAAGAGTGCGCCAAGGTTCCTAATAGTAAGAGTTTACCGTCGGATACGTCACTAATGTCAGGTAACGGTTATCAAACGGTAGAGCATTCAAAATGATATTTCCAACAAAAGCAGTTCTCGGGGCAACTGATCATGGGCTACCGCCGTAGGAAGGTTGTCGCTAACCTACTGATCCACCGGAAAAGGAGCTGTGGGATAGCATGGGATGTTAATAATACTGCTCTCATGGAACCACTCAAATCATGGAAGGAAATAACGCTCAGCACCTGGTAGAAAGAACGTGCTATCTAAGAAGGTCCTAGCGCGTAGCGCTTTTCCTGAGCAAGTTCACTCTCCGAGCGTCTAATCAAGACTTTAAGGCATAAGCCACGATAATTCGCTACTTGCTCAAAAATAGTAGTGGAGGCTATATAGTCGGAAAGTGATGAAAGCGCGATGTTATACGGCCGAAGACCTGTGAAAACATTCGTTCTGCACGGCACTGAAAGGGGATTTTGGATTAGTTTCCACTTGCACCGTGCCAGGAGACGCTTCGATTGGTATGTATGATGTATTCATATGCACGCTGGCGTAGCGAGGGCACGGGAAGCATAGCTATCGATCTAGCTTCACCAGCGTTTCTCCAGCGTTTAAAAAGCGGCACCAGCGTTTTATTTCCCGATTGGTATGTATGATGTATTCATATGCACGCTGGCGTAGCGAGGGCACGGGAAGCATAGCTATCGATCTAGCTTCACCAGCGTTTCTCCAGCGTTTTCCCAGCGCTTGCAGCGACGGGGCTAGAGAGGGGCTAGAGAGTATTGAAGGGAGGAGAGTATTTTGTACTCTCCTACATTCAATACTCTCTAGCCCCTCTCTAGCCCCGTCGCTGCAAGCGCTAGCGGGGCTAGAGAGTATTGAAAGTAGGAGAGTACAAAATACTCTCCTCCCTTCAATACTCTCTAGCTACGCAGCGTGCGCTAGCGTACGCTGGTGACGCTGGGAACGCTAGATCGATATCTATCATTTCCCCGACACTGCCGCTGGTACGCTGGAAGCTACGCTACGCTGCCGCAAAGTATAAACGCAGCCTGACAGTCACACGCCCTGTGATGTCTGGGCAACCCCTGCCTCATAAACCGCTTTTTCGCATCTCGCAATAGTGCTTACAGTCCTCATCATTGCGGACCGGTGGGGCGTGTCAGTGCGGCTGCGTTTGGCGCGGTGCCAAAGTCGTTCTGCACCAGTTGTTGAAGCGGGCAAGTGACATTACTGTATTATATCCTTCGTATTACTCGTTTTCTACCACTTTTTGTCGCATACGCGTTTCAACAAAAAGGCTGAGAACGGCTTCAACAGTGTGCACACTCATACTGGCTGACACGCCCCACCGGTCCGCAATGATGAGGACTGTAAATATCATCCAGTGTAACCATAATACTACGAAAAACAACAAAACCATCAACGAAAAACTCGAAGCTAAGAGAAAACGGTAGCGTGCAGCTTTTAGTGCAGTCGAGCTTTGTACCAAAAATTGCATCACTGGTGATTTTAGCGCGTTTTACCATCCAAGATGCGTTGCAGTTGAATGTAGGTGTTCCTAATGAATAAAATGTAATGAGGGAGAGCAGAATTACTCATGGGCACGAGCACAGTCAACAAAAATGGACATGCAATTCCGATCAATGCCCGCCGCCCCAACAAAGAACAACTGAGCGGCTCTGCGTCAGATGTTGAGAGGACATCTAGCAAGTGGGCCGTACAACTGAGCGGGTGTTAGAACTAGAACTGCTGTAGCACCCTCCTCGCTCACTGTGAAGTCGCGAAAGTGGGACATTCTCCTAGCTGAGGGGCTGGACCTACATGCACAAGGAATGACGACCACGAGTTACTTGAGCGTGGTTCTTCCTTCAAGCCGTTGTTATTTTGGAATTCAATCTCATTCCCAGATGATGCGGAGTTGCAATTAAATGTGTTGCACATCCCTTGCACCCTTCTTTTGGTTTTTGTTTTTACAGTTCAACAGCAAGAGGTAAGTCTCAAAGATAACAAAGTATGCAATTTATCACATAGAATTTATTTCATCTAAACTCAACAATATTTCCAGTTACTAGAATCTACAGCCGAAGATTCCAAACCCGCGAGAGATTCTCAAAATACGCTTGTTCGCCAGCATTTGCAATTTCAATGCCGAGGACGTTGATAACCTGAAAATAGGTATGATCCATTACGGTATTTATTCACGTAATCAATCAGAATTTCCCTTATTTTTGGGACAAGTTTGAACAAGCAGGAAATGTGACAGCGCGTGGACGGAAATCCGAGCTTATAGCAATGCAGTTCTGCTACACGCTGCTCTTTGCGCAAGGAGCGTAGCAAAAATTCATTGTTTGTGGAACGCGTTTGAAAATAGAGGAAGTATGAGCACGGTGACGGAAACCCTCTTCAATTTTTAGCGCTAATGTGCTCGGAACAAACGGTTTTCGTAATCTGCGCAAAGGAGAAATGGAAGGCTCTTTTTAGGTCTTTTCCGTTTTTTTTCAAGGCCCGGTGGATGATATCATTGGCCATGATACCCACCTTTGGTAAGGTTTTATCCTTGACGATTGTATGTTGTATCCGCATTGGTTGCTGTCGTTCATAAAGCAGAAGAGAATGCCGTCGATATGCTGGATGAGAGAGTAATAACGAAAGGGGCACGAGGAATTCGAATACTGCGGATAGCTGAAAATACTTCTCATGAAAAATGAAAAACTGCCACTTAAAATTTAAAACATTACACTGAAAAAATGCACTCCTACAACACCCATCAAAAAAAATTCACGTTACCCATTACTCCCACGGAAACTCCCACGTTACCCATTACTTCGTATGCTTTTTCCCTAGAGTTTCAAAAAAGGCATATAAAAGTATTTGTGCAGGAAGACGAGCGATCTATTTGCTGAGGAAGACGAGCGATCTCCGAGTGTCCGAATATTCTTTTTCCTACGTGATAGCATGCGACAAAGAGCAAGCAATGTACGTTATCGTGAACCTTGCCTCACCTCATCTGGGTTGTGGGTTATAACATTAGGGTACCTTTCCGAGAAAAAAACTTTATGAGTTCAAGGAATTTCTCTGACGGAAGGCAAAGCGCAGAAGAACTATTTCAAAAGTTACTCTGCTTTCTCTCTCACGTACTACGTACGGCTACTACTTTCTCCACCCCCCCCATGACGGCGGAATGTGTAGAAGTATGTCCAGTGTTCTTCAGAATGTCGCTATATATGTTGTGTGTTACGCGAATACCGATCAACCGAACAAAAGTACTGAAATTTGAGATTTGTTTCTAAAGAAGTAGTGTAATGCAGTAATGGAACTCCGAATGAACCCTAGAATGTTGCCCTAAAGACGAAACAACACGATTGGAGCTATAGGTGCATTGCATAGTATTTTAAGGTTATAGCTTCATTCGAAAACCATCTTTCGCAGAGCTGTAAGGACGATTCAAGTTGTATGGCAAGGCTCTATACGAAATTGGTACAGGTTTTACCAAGCTTGTATAACGGCTTCTGGCCAGAAAATAAAAAAATAAAAATATCGGACAATTCCGTGCGACTAGGATTTCCTTCATCTCTCAATAAGAACAGTTTCGTTCTGGCATAATGTAGAGCAGAGTTCTACACGGCAGTGGGAACTAGAAGGTTTCTCTCTTGAATGAGCATAACTGCTTTGCTGCTACAGTGAAATTCGCCCGTCGCGGGAAATTGCGAAAAAATAACGCGGAGAATTTTCTGCCGAACGCAAGTTTTTACAACAAAGGCCTAGCCTTGTTAAGATAAAGCGTGGAACGGAGTTCTACAACAGCCAAGCAGAAAGTTCTTTCTTTTGAAGGACCACAACATCTTTGCTATAGCTCAATTATAGCAAGAGTAGGCCCGTTTCGGATTTCCATTTGAAAGTCAGCTTCAGGCAGCATGAGGAAATCCCCCTCCTCCACCCTCCCCCCCCCTACAAAGCCCACATTTCCATGAAGAAAGCTCGGTAGGCTTTCCGTACAACTCCTCATTTATTTTCAATGAAAATCTGATGCACAGAGAGCTGGTCAACTTCTACAGGGAATATGTATTCGACACTTCCTTTGTGAACGCGTCATGCATCCTGCAAGCTATGTCGATGCCGTGTTCAGTACTGATCTCTGCAAATGCGACCCCACCTTTCTGAGGGGGGAGGTCGAATACGATCCCCTCGTGCGGATTCCGCGACGTCCGCTTGACCCTGCTTCCAGGGGCATGTATAAGCCGTCCATGCAGTTTCAAGTGTGCTGAAGATTTTGCTCCTACATGACAGCATTCCAACGAAGAGTGTTGTGAGATTGCGCAATATTTCGCCCATGGTACATCAACGGAAACGAAATGTCAGTAAAACCAGCTCAATCCAAGCAACGTACCTATACGACCCTCTTCCATTACAACTAAATTCGAATTTCGCGCCTGGAGCGCCCCGAGGTAAAACAGATTATTTTCTTGATAAGCTCATATTTTTTTGGCTTTCCTCACCTGGAGACCGCAGGTTTTTCAAAAGTGATGGACTTGGGGAATAGGAAATCTTCTTTTGACGCATCAGATATGTTTTGAAAATGAAGTGAACTTTCCACAAATGTTCGGTGGGATAATTGAGAAACATATGCGACTTTCAATGGATTGAACGAGCAAAGCTCCGTCAGTATGTTCTCGCGCAAGCGCCCAATCCACCCCAGCATTTCCGATGACATAGTGAAACTCAACCGAGAATCTCACGCAACACAACACGAAGGCGCTCACCTTTGTTCCACCGTAGACGCGGAATAATCCGCTATTCCATAAGTCAACCAGTAGCGAATGAGACTTACTACATATAGCGTCTCCTTATACGTATCGATAACGCGGAAACGCACGTAGCACTGGTGACTTTATAGCTCGCAATACGGAATGAACGACAGGAGGTCATTGGAAATTGACGGACGCTCGTCTCGGTTGTTCATACGAGGATTTCTGACAGAAATCCAAAACGCCTCTAATGCCTTCCTAGCCGCAATCTCCGTCTCCTGCGCCAATATTGTGCACTTTATCGCAAAGTTGTCGCCGTTATGCACCTCCGCTTTATGCTTCCCAAGCGCTGTCGTAAGATTACCGCGCCTCATGCTGGCTAGGTGTTCTTTGATACGTTTAGCGAGCGGTCTTCCTGTTTCTCCGATATAGGTGCATTCACATGTCCGACATTCAATCTGGTAGATCACGCCCGTTTGTGCGCAATCACCGATTTTTCCGTACGGACAAATGACACACTCTTCCACTATACACTGCTTGTCGTAGAGCGTTTCGAACTAGCTGCTGCTTGATGTTGTCGTTAGAAATGTTATAGTACCACAGGGTCATGGAAGCAGCGCATGAACACGCGAGAAAGTCCGCGCCAAAGCAAGTTGCCACTATGTCTTCCTTTCATCTCTGATAAGGTCACTGCTGCAATACAACGGAGCATTTCTAGAGCGCAGCTGCAAGATGCCGTTCAGTTAGTGAACATTCCTAACAACAACATCAAGCGGCAGCTAGTTCGAAACGCTCTACGACAAGCAGTGTATAGTGGAAGAGTGTGTCATTTGTCCGTACGGAAAAATCGGAGATTGCGCACAAGCGGGCGTGATCTACCAGATTGAATGCCGGACATGTGAATGCATTTATGTCGAGAGACAGGAAGACCGCTGGCTAAACGTATCAAAGAACACCTAGCCAGCATGAGGCGCGGTATTCTTACAACAGCGCTTGGGAAGCATAAAGCTGGTGCATAACGGCGACAACTTTGCGATAAAGTGCACAATATTGGCGCGGGAGACGGAGATTGCGGCTAGGAAGGCATTAGAGGCGTTTTGGATTTCTGTCAGAAATCATCCTATGAACAGCCGAGACGAGCGGCCGTCAATTTCCAATGACCTCCTGTCGTTCATTCTGTATTGTGCGAGCTATAAAGGGTGGGGTCACCGTGCTACTGCGTTTCCGCGTATCGATACGTGTAAGGAGACGCTATATGTAGTAAGTCTCATTCGCTACTGGTTGACTTATGGAATAGGGATTATTCCTTGTCAACTTTATATTCTTTGGTGTCTCGGTGCCGTGCGGCGGCGTTTGTTATCGCTCTGGTCTACATTATCATATTCCTACTGGAGGCTTGATTTCGAAGGATTACATTTATTCCACTAATTCAACGGCGTCGCTTAGGTTGAACTGAGCATTATCTCAGTAGAAACTTGCCACTTACCCAGGTATTCTGTCTTGTCTCACTTTATTGTTCTCGGAGTTTTGCCGCTGTGAGGCCGCCGTCAATCAATTCTATCAATTTTTTTCATCGCATTGGTCACTTACGATTTGTTGTACGGACATATCTATCCTCGTCTATTACCTATCAACGCATAGTTGGGGGCAATAATTTACAACATATGCTCCACCTCCATTAATCCTTATACTTTTTGTTTGCATAAATGATCTCTCTCCGTATTAACTGCCACTCTATTCTCGCATGGACGTCAATAACTAAATGATGTGACTCCTCCAGCTGGGTGGATCTCCAGTCAACGATAGCAGATCTATCTAAATCTAGGCGTGTTTCCGACCCAGTCAAGAAAGTATTGATGGCTATGATGGCTGAGATAACGGCTCTCCGGTCTGAAAATAGTAACCTCAAGTTGGAGATTGAGGCTCTTCCGTGATAGGAGCTAGCCAGATTCAGCGCATGTGCCCTCTCATGTTGATAATCATAAACGGTTCTTCTCCAAATCACGCTGTTAAAAGTCACACTGTTAGCTCTGAGTCCAATGCATCCTATGAAGAGTTTGGAAGATTGAGATCAATAGTTATAGGTATTCCTAAATCTCCTGCAACGAATGTAAAAGAACGAGTATTGAATGATTTCCAATCAAAATTTCTTGCGTGGAATATAACCCGATTACAGGCAAGATGGTCTTAGACAATGACGGGAAAAACAAGTATACTCTCTCGACGCAGCAAAAGTATTTTCAACGTCATGATCGTTCCCCGCGAGAAGCTCCCCGCCTCCGGTATTTCCCCGAGCGAGCTTTCCTAAGGGAATCCCTCACTAGGGAGGAAAGGAACGCATGGAACGGAGGCACTCCCCAGCGGATGCATCTAGCTCCACTCCGGTGGGTAGTGCCTTGGTGCCAGGGGGCCCTCAAACTCACCTACGCATGTGATAAGCGACGCGACGGCCGGTCCGGGAAACTGATGTTTCCTCTCCGGACTCGAGTGAGTACTTTCACAATGTTCTATGCGAATGTTCGGTCAATCTCTCGAGGAACTCGGATTACATAAACTCTGTTCTAGCCATACAAGTACTGATTTTTTGCTTTTTTGATTGGAAACAGTGGCTGAAACACTAATCTTAGCTGTCGGTCTGTTCTGGGTGGCCCATGAGTTCTGGTTATGATACCTTACAGGAATGGTTTGACTCCATTGGAAACTATTGAATGGAGACCTAGGTACATCGCATAGAGCTCTCGAATGGAGTTTACGAATATGCAATTAAAAGTGCTACGGGGACCTCCCAGACGAGATCTGGGTGGTCAAAGTTTGAGTTCTGGCTCGTAAGCGCTGCTGATCGATGCCTCGGCAGTGCCACCGTGGCCTCGTGGTAATGGTCTCGCTTTCAAGTCAAACGCATGCGGGTTTGCATCCGGTTGGCGCGAAAATTTTTGCTTCGCTCCGTATAAGAGCTTCAACTCTAATTTTCGAAATTCTTCCGAATTTACGGGCAGCAGGGCGCCAAGTTGCATCAAGTGCATCAAGTATTACGCAAACTCATCTAGCAATCCTGGTCATATCCCCTCTCTGAACATATTACCCATCCGACAATTCAAAGTTTTGCCCAGAATCGCAATTTGGCCAGACGAGCGTTTTTCGTCGAACGGATGTGATATTCGTGTTCAGGGGGTCGAAATCTCCCATGAACGAATTTCTCGCTAAAACTTTGAATTGTCGGATGGCTAACCTGTTCAGAGAGGGCAGTTATGACCAACATACTAGATCGAGTACGTCGTATACTAGATGTGCTTGATCTACTTGCCCTGCTGGGCCGTAAATTCGGAACAATTTCGAACATTAGAGTTGAAGTTCCTATACGGAGCAAAGCAAAAATTTTCGCAGTCAACGAGATCAACCCGCATTGCGTTTGACTTTGAAAAGCGAGACCATTACCACGAGACCACGGTGGCACTGCCGAGGCATCGATCAGCAGCGCTTACGAGCCAGAACTCAAACTTTGACCACCCAGATCTCGTCTGGGAGGTCCCCGTAGCACTTTTAATCTGCATATTCGTAATCAGCATTCGAGGCTCTATCGATGTACCTAGGTCTCCATTCAAAGTTCCATGGGAAGTTCAAACCATTCCCTTGTTAGAAGATGCAGGCAGAAGAGAAGTGGTGGAGGAGCAGTTGTTTGAAATCCAGCAAACACGGACCGGAGGTGGGCAAGCAAACTCTTAGCTTGTCCAAGGACCAGGGTGAGAGACCCTAGCTTCTCCTTCAGAGCGGCGGGCACATATAAGAGGGTCACAAAGAATTTTGCCATTCCCAATACTTTGTGCACGGCTACTTAGTCACGTAACATCCTAGTTGCTTGAGATTGACTTCAGAATTTCCTAACTTAACCAATAGTTGAATAGTCTCGGATCGTTGCCAGCTCGAGTCGCATCATTTCACTTTGATTAGTTTGATATCTTCTTGATATACTGAGTGAGCGTATTTTCCTAGTTGATATATCGTTGTCGTCTGTTCCCAGAAAGTTTTCTTCTTGATGTTCTTTGTTTGTTGTTCTCTCACGTTTGCCTTATGCAGCGTAATAAACATAAACATAAACATAGATGAGTGAGCGTTATCAATGAGTAACTTTCGTCACGAGATCCGGTGAAAATGTCACCAAGGCTTTGTGGAGAGTGAAAAGGAGCGTGTCAGTGAGAAGGGCACTGTTCTAGGCTTGACTTCTCCCATACTGCAAGCAAGGGCTTTGCTTTTAAGAAGTTTCAGCGTAATGTGCCGTGATTTGAAAGTGCTAATGTAACGGAACATGAGTCTACGAGTGGCCTTCTGAAACAAAAAAAAATGTGAAGCACCAACCGAAGTGAATCCATAAAATGCAGAAATATAGTGATCTTCAGTACATCTTGACACTTGGAACACGTGTTCGAGACCGAAGAACAGCGCTCCAGATACATCCACTGCTGACACAAGCGCATCGCAGAGCACCGTAGGAAGAAGCACTCTGTAAAGAAGTAAAAGTGCATGAGTTTTTTTTCAGCATGAAGCTCTCCACTTACGTTTGAGGAGAAAGGGATGGTGGGAAGGGAGATAGGCAGCACCCTTTGCGTTCTTGTCCCTAGCCAGCGACTGGGTTTACCGACAGCTTGTGCTATAAACTGATGAGCAGAACCCTTCCTTGACCCAGGTGACGGGTCCGCAACCACAGGATGTTCTTCTTTCAAACGAAACTGCGCTTGAAATTTTGAGAACTCAGAAGCTATGGCAACGCCTTCAAGGTCTACGTCTACTTGTTTGTGACCTCCATCCTTATCATATCATTCCACCACCACTGCATAGCTGTAGGGTCTGAACACACCATAAATTGTTTCTCTTCTACAGGCTCAGTATCTCTTTGCCGCACATTCCTCAATGCCTAGAGCCAATAGGTGCCTTATTCAGAGCGGTTCTGATTGGATGTCTGCTCTTTTCTCCCTTATTGAGTTACACAGCACTTTTCGCCGTTCGATCCGCAGTACACACGTATGGCGATTTCCGGCTCAGTCTTTAAAAAGGCTGTCCTTTTTGCGAGATTATCTTTCTAGGAGCTCTGTGTCCAGGTAAGGGGAAGGATCGGAAGGCTGTTATACTCAACGCGGCCCCCCCCCTTCTTTCCCTCACCGCCTAAATAACGTATGCGCTGTCAATTTTCTAGTCTTGCATTTTGCATATATCTATCTTTACTACTTTCGCAGTGCAAAACGCCCGTTGATCACAGCGATTTCAGTGAATTACTGTGGAAATGAAAAGTCGTAGACGATAGGGCCTTTATGCAGCAGTGTCTTGTTGTGTCTTTGTTAAACCTGTATAGCAAGATTCGAGACTTTTGAAATTCGTAGAACTTTTCCAATCAAAGCCTTAATGTAAGCCATCTGAGGCATCTACTAATAAAGCATGAAAAATAGCAAAATAGCGTTCTTACATGAACGCTGGAGAAAATGGAGCTTTTTTCAAAAATTGTACCAATAATTCACTCTTACAGGAATTCTCCACCTTTATGATTCTGACCCTTCCTAGCCATATTGCACTTTGTGTTTTCGCACAAGAAAGCACTTTGAACTTTAGTCACTTGAAAAAGCTTCAGTTGGCAACTACGTAGTTGCTAACTAATGTTATTACTGCAGCTCCAACGATTAAAAAAAGTAGGAATTGGAAACGAAATGGTAGAAGGAACATTTTGGAAAGGGATGATCACCACCCCGAGGTAGTATCCTGATTGTCTACCACGGAGTTGAATTCGAGGGGCTACCTTCCATGAAATCTTGATCAAAGGAACAGTCAACGCCGCCAATGTGGCACATTCTCATTGCCGTCGCTAGAGTACACATCGCTGGGAATAGCCTATGGGCAATCTCACTTATGGCCATTGGACGACGGATAATCGCACGAAAAATTCTATATTTATTGAAGATTCTCCGATTTTTACACCAATATAATTCTAAGTCTCTTTACTGTTTCTGGGTTGACCAAAGCTTTCACTATCCCTACGTTACTACCCCCACCACTACATGAGAAGGTTTAGAATGATGGCATCTCCTTATATTCCCACTTCGGTCATTGAACCTTCTACAAACTGCAGTTCACTTTCATTTCCTACCAGTTTCCATCTTCCAGCTTTTCTCAAAATGTAACTGTCTAGCGATTGCGGGAGGACGGACCCTTCCGATCGACCGTGGAAAACCGATATGGTTTCCACTGCGCAGACAACTAAAACCCGGGGACACAGTGACATGAAACTGGTGGGAAAGAAAAAAAGCCCTTACAGTGGAAACTTTATTCCGGAGCCAGTGCACGATTCCTTGATAGCTTCTAGCACAAATAGTTTGTCCCCCCCCCCCTCCTAGTAGACGCTGAAATGAGGGTGATCGGGCTTGAAAGTGTAGGCAGAGAGATGAATTACCTGGCTCCTAGCCAAAAGTTTTTCAGCATTCTGCTTGATGTGCCTCAAACGCATTGCATGTGCCGTAAATCTTCAAAGACAAGAAAACTAATACACTTGGCAGGACGGAATTCCGCGCTCTGAGCAGGCTGCGTAGCGCCTTTTCCGAAAAAGTACCCTTGAAAGGCCCTGAGCCTGCAATATACAATCTCGACCGCCACCGCGCCCGCCACCAAGTGCCCACCGATGGCTATGCCTGAATGCGCTGATTTGCGACTGCAATAGAGACAGGGGATTGATATGAGAGGCTGCCGGTGCTTGCATGGATGTGTAAGTGCCACCCAGCACTCTACTGTAGCGATACGTGGCAAGACACCTATCGAAACTCGTGCTGAATCGCTTTTTGAGTCATCAGGTAAAAAAGGCTTTTCTTCCCCAAGTTTTTGATCGTTTTTTCGCCATTTTCCCATTACATAGCACACTGCTAGCATTTCAGCGCACCAGTGAGGCGGGGGCAATCACAGGCTTAGCCGGCCCATATGACCAACACGGTCTCGCCTTTCAAAACACGAACTACTTTGTATGAAGGAAAAGAAGAAGAATGCCGGCTCAAAGAGTACAAGGACGAAGGATGGAGGAGCGCTAGCCTTTGAGTACTGCTGAAGTGAGATCACAAACCTTATAGTTCGTATATTCTCTGTGATTTGATATCGTGTTGAGAGTGTGGCACCAGTTCCGGCTAATGCTTTTGTAATACGGTAGTTCACACAAAGGAGGATGATGAGACACTGCAAAATCAAAAGTATCAATGTGCCAGATTGGAAAATCCGCTTACAGCGCTGATTGACCTCTGTTCTCAGAAAGCGTCACGTATTTGACTTCCATTCAATCCCGTTGTAGGCTTTAAATGCGTCTTTCCCACGGAAAACAGCCAATCAACAAGTCGGCCAATAACCTCCCTGTGAATTATAGGCTAAACAAAAGATGGTAGGTGGTTTGGCTGACCTAGACATATGTACATGCGGCAGGGATGTCCCTGGGAAATTGGTGTAATTCCAGGTTCCCCCTTGAAGGGGGAATCTCGTCAAAGAGAAAGATGATGAACAAGTTCGTTCGTGCACTGCAGATTCAGTATTTTAGATTCCATAAAACTACTTGAGGGATGTTTTCTAACTAAACGATGGTCGAAGAATAAAGAACTAATGATAGTCTCTGAGAGCTGACGTTCTTATTACCAATCCATTCCGAATGAATGAGTGCCCTCCTTAGTAGGGATCAACCGAGAGTAAACTTTTGCTTCGCATTTCGTCTTCAGGGCAGCATTACAGCTTTATGGAATAGGTGCTGTACACGTCAGCGCAGTCTTCTCACGTTAAAGTGGTTTATTCGACGAAAGGTCCTAGGGTGCCACCAGGAAAAAAGCAAATGTACCGAAGAAAACAGTCAAAATATAAATGGTTCCCAAATTTGAATGGTTTTGCCCTCATTGCAACCCCAAGACCCAGCAGCGGAGGGGAACCCCTTCAAATCTTAATGAAAGTCGAATAAGTGGCGCGTTCCGAAGAAAGCAGATAATTTCACAAAACACCGACCATTTTGTTTACTATGACAAATAAATTAGAGGTAAACAGTAGAACATGTTTCTTACCACAATATTGAGTGCATACAAAGTCATCATGGAGATCACTTTTGAAGTGATATGCCGCATGAAGAAATTGAGAACAGCTATTCCAACCTAAAAAAAAGCAGAAATTTATTGTATTAACGTG